CACACAGATTCCTAAGCAGGGCGGATCGATGAATATCCATATATTCCAAGGAAAGGTGGGCGGCTTCGAGTCTATAGATCGGGAACGGTTGAGTTTGCTTGTGTAAGCGCCCCCGCCGACCACCTGTGACCGCCCGCCGGACCACCTGTGAGCGCTTGCCGGACCACCTGGCGAGATTTCTCATTGAGACTTCGCTGGCTAATGCACCGCGTAATTGGTCATTCGCAACCGGACCTTCAGCGCCGCCCCTTGACACAGAAAGACACGCCCACGGGGACAAAAATATCAAACGGACGAAATTACATAGTTGTGAATCGTATAATTATGAAGCAGGCACTTTTAAGGGGCATAGACGGGGTAAATTTACTTTCATATCCAAAATCATTCTAATAGAGTAAACAAATAAAATGCGTTACGAATTTAGACGAATTCGTGTCTGAATTTCTTCGTCTGTCTGTCTGGATCTGATTTCATACAAGGGGCATTGCTATTCGTTATGCGCTTGCGGGATTTGAAACTATCTGTGCCATCTTTGCCTGCCCGGATGCCCTTCCAGACACCAACCTTGGTCCAGATCTCGCGAACGCCCGACCCCTAATATTCTAAGAACGGGAAAACACACGATTATACGGAATACCTTTTGGATGTATTCTTTTTCCAGTTCTGAAGAAAGTATAGCAAAATAGCGAAAAAAGGCCTCCGATAAATTCACGTTGTCCTGGCCTTCCCTTCGCTGTTTTATTCAAATTCTGTTCCTCAGAACTCGAACACTTTGTTCATTTACATATATGCTGATTTTTTTTTTCTTCTCAACGTGAATACTTCACAGGGAACCAATTACGATCCTAAAGTCCACAGCAGCAAGATTTTTGTCAGTCTGTGCTTATAAATAGCAGGTCGTTTTCTTTGAAAGCCTCTATTTATCTCCCTTAATGACTCGTCGCGTGGGTAGAAGGCGTAAGTTTTCTCCTGCGACCGAAATTATGAGCGCGGGAGAGGAATTTTAATACGACGCAGGACAGAAGGAAAGAAATAAAAAGAGAGTCAGGCACGAGATTACGCCCCAGCGAGACGTCGCCGGAAGTCACTTCAGAAGGGCTTAAGGAAACCTTTCATGAATCTATGATGCGAAGAGGTTTACGAGGAGGCACGGGACGTCCGGGAGGAGGTGGGGCGGGGGGGGATAGGGGGAAGGCTGAGGGGAAGGGGGTTGGGAGAATACAGAAGGGAGGGGGGGTAGGGGGAAGACAGAGGGGAGGGGTAGGAAGGGGATAGGTGGGAAGGCAGAGGAGAGGAGATGGGGGGGTAGGGAAGACAGAGGGGAGGGGGGTAGGAAGGGGATAGGTGGGAAGGCAGAGGGGAGGAGATGGGGGATAGAGAAGGGGGGGACAGGGGGGGGGGGGAAAGGGGGAAGGGGAAGGCAGAGGGAAGGAGATGGAGGATAGGAGAAGGCAAAGGGAGGGGGGTAGGAAAGGGATAGGGAGAAGGCAGAGGGGAGTGGAGAGGGAAGGGGATGTAGAGGGGAAGGAAAGAATGAAAGGGGCGGAATGGAGGGGGAGAGGGGAGGGGCAAAGGGGGTAGGGAAGCGTGTGAAAGGGCAGGTGAAGGAAGGGAAGGGGTAAGGGGGGAGGGAGCAAGGAAGCAAGGAAAGTGGGTGGAGGGGGCAGGTGAGGAGACGAAGAGGAGAGAAGGGAAAAAAAGGGGAAAGGGGAGTGCAAGGCGGGGGGAGGGGAGGGGAACAGAAGGGGATATGAGAAGCACACGGAATCTTGGGGACAGAGAGGGGGGGGGGGGAGAAAGCAAGTCTTGTCTAAGAGGCTTTTGAGTTGTCTTAGGTTGCAGCTGGAATTGTGCAGTTTGGTTAAAGGTTGCGAGAAGAGGAGAAATCAGCCGGCGAGATTGCAGTCTTCTCTCTCTCTCTCTCTCTCTCTCTCTCTCTTATATATATATATATATATTATATATATATATATATATATATATATATATATATATATATATATATATATATAATATTATATATATATATATATATATATATATATATATAGTATATATATATATACTATATATATATATATATATATATATATATATATATATATATATATATATATACATCTATCTATCCATCTCTGTCTCAACTCGCACAAAGACGTAAAGAAAATTACAGACAGATATATAGGTTAATGACTAAAACCTAAACAAACATAAAGAAATAACAGAAGCAAGTATCGGACGTACAGGGGCTAGAGAAATAGATAATAATAAACTAGACAGACATACATCAGGAAATATAAACGAAATACCCACAGCCTTTATGATAAGACATTCGAATAAAACGACCTGATAACTGTCGAGAAACCGAGCTTTAAACGCTCTCTCTCTCTCTCTCTCTCTCTCTCTCTCTCTCTCTCTCTCTCTCTCTCTCTCTCTCTGTCTCTCTCTCTCTCTCTCTCTCTCTCTCTCTCTCTCTCTCTCTCTCTCTCTCTCTCTCTCTCTCTCTCTCTCTCTCTCTCTCTCTCTCTCTCTCTCTCTCTCTCTCTCTCTCTCTCTCTCTCTCTCTCTCTCTCTCTCTCTCTCTCTCTCTCTCTCTCTCTCTCTCTCTCTCTCTCTTCTCGCTAGACAAAGATGGAGAATAAATACGCGTTTTAAAAAGCCAGGCTTATCAACGGGTGTCGACACGGAGGAGACCAGGGGATGGGTGGAGGACGGGGAGGGGGGGGGGATGGAGTGCCAAGGGAAGGGGTGGAGGGCCAGAAGGGAAGGGGACTGGTTGGAGGTACAAGGGGGAGGGGGAGGGGGAGGGTCAAGGGGGTGGATGGAGGGCCGGGGGAAGGTGGAGGGCAGGAGGAAGGGGAGGTTGGAGTGCAAGGGGGTGGAGGAGGGCCAGGGGAGGGGAGAGTTGGAGTGCCAAGGGGGTAGGAGGAAGTCCAGGGAAGAGGGGGGAGGGATGAAGCATGGGATGAGGGATAGGATGGGCGGGAGGAGGGAGGCGAGTGACAAAAGAGGATGTCATTCGCAGACTCACAGGAATGCTACAACCTGCCATGACTGTCATGTCCAGAGCTCCCATACGGCCGATGGGAGGGAAAAGGAGGGCCGGAGCACGGGGGGGGGGGTGGAGAATACGTGGGAGAAGGTGGAGGAGGTGAGGGCGTGGGAGGGAGAGGGGATAGGGGGACAGAGAGGGAAGGAGGGGCGAGGAAAGGATAGGAATGGGAGAAGAAGATGGAAGGAGAATAGGCGAAGGGTCGAGAGAGGGACAGAGGGAGAGAATGAAGAAGGAGAATGGAGAGTGTGAAATAGGAAAGAAGCAAGAAGTTGGTGGAGAAGAGGAAGAGGATGGAGACAAGGTTAGAGACAAAGATGAGAAATAAGGAGGAATTACAAGAAATGAGAGCAGAAGGGAAGGAGGAGATGCTAAAGAAAGAGAAGTAAAGATAAAAAGATGAATTAAGGAAGACAAGAGAAAGGAAGACGAAGAATATTTAAAAGAAAAGAGGGAGCAAGGAAGATAGAAATGAGTAAAGAGTGTTGCATTGAAAGAAAAAAATAAAATAAAACGTAGGTGATAATAAGGATACAAGAAGAAAGAAGATTTAGATGAAAAATATTAAGAAAGTTGCTTAGGAAGAGATATAAAAGCAGAAGGAATGATAGAGGAAATATGCTTCATCTGTATAACCCCTTATCTCTCTCTCTCTCTCTGTCTTCTCTCTGGTTCTCTGTCTCTCTGCTCTCTCTCTCTCTCTCTCTCTCTCTTTGTTTCTCTCTCTGTCTCTCTCTCTGTATCTCTGTCTGTCTCTCTCTCTCTCTCTCTATCTGTCTATCTGTGTGTGTGTGTGTGTGTGTGTGTGTGTGTGTTAGTCTTTTATCTGTCTCTGTCTGTTTCTTGTTTCTCTCTCTCTCTCCTCTCTCTCTCTCTCTCTCTCTCTCTCTCCACACACAACACACACACACACACTCTCACTCTCCCTACCCTTCCCCTCTCTTTCTCTGTCTCTCTATCCCTCCCCCCCCCCCCTCTCTCCTATTATCACCCCCAATCCTCCCATCCCTCTCCCACTCCCTCGCTCGCTCCCTCATACCCCTTCTTTCCCTCTCTCCCTTACGACCCCGTTTCGCTCCTCTTACGGGATCCCTATTGGTCGGGAACAATCATGTTATTCAGAATTAGGTTGGGTAATACACCCCCTATTAGATTATATATATGGTCGGTCTCTCCCGCAGCGAAAGAGGGAGGAGGGGGAAGGGGCGTGGGGGGGAAGGGGGGAGGGGGCGGCAACCCACGGAGGAGTCATTTTTTTTTCCTCTCATTCTATTTGTCTTTTTGGGTGAAAGAAAGAAAGATAAAGAAAATTGCGGTGTTGAAAGTTGGGTTTGAATCTGCACCGTTGCAGTGTAATATAGGGTACGAATAGAAGAATGAAGGAGGATGGAAGGAAGAGAGAGAGAGATGGAGAGAGAAAGAAAGATGAACAATTGTAATATTTGTCCAGTGTCTGTTAGATACAGCTGGTAGTATATATTTGTCTGTCTCTCTCTCTCTCTCTCTCTCTCTCTCTCTCTCTCTCTCTCTCTCTCTCTCTCTCTCTCTCTCTCTCTCTCTCTCTCTCTCTCTCTCTCTCTCTCTCTCTCTCTCTCTCTCCCCCTCTCTCTGTCTCTCTCTCCTCTCTCTCTCTTTATTAGATATACAACTGAAAGTTTCTCTTTTTCCCTCCCTCTCTCTCTCTTTCTATCCTCCCCTCTTTCTCTGTGTCTCTTCTCTCTCTGCCTTTACCACACTTTATCTCTCTTTCTCTCTCAACTTCCCTTTGTCTCTTTCTCTCTCTACCTTATCTTATATCACTTACCAGATACCACTGGTACTCGAAGTAAGGGTCCGTCGGATCCCGGTCCGACTGAATGCTCTGTAGGGGGACGAGGTTCTCAACTTTCAGTGGTTTGTAGCCTCGCTTCACCCGCCGGAATCCGAGCTGTTGGAACGCGGAGTGGAC